GGGTTAGGCTTACTCAGTCCAGTTTTGCAGGTCCAGTCTCACTGTTTTTCTGTCCTGAAGTTTCTCACTTACAGGACAGTATGCTAGTTCCAGTCCAATAGAGGGGAAGGAATTCTGTGAAGGGGACCTGTTCTCTCTCTAGTTCTTCCCAGCAAAGGAGCAAAGCAGACAAGGGCTGTGCATTCATGGGAAGTGAGAGTGCTGGGATCATTGTACTCCTCATCTTGGGAAGTGAGACACTGTTCTTACCCTCCCTCTGGGTGTCAGCACAGATCCCAGCTGCTCCCTCCTTCCATTCTTCAAAGTCGAGTGAGATCAGCTCCAGCTGGGAGGTAGGACTGGGTTCATGAAAGACTGACAAGTTTTTGTGGTGCTCTCTCTTTCTTTTTGCCATTTGCCCCAAAGGATGTTTTAATTGATATCAAGGAAAATCCACTCAGTATAGTCACAGTTCTTTTGGAGCAAATCAATGGTCTGAGTGAGGAGTATAGATATTACCTCCTCCTGTTGTTTGATTTTGAGCAGAGGAGATTTACCCACCTTTATTCACTGCATGTCATGGGAACAAATGGAGGGCATAAAGCACTTTGTTCTTGCTCAGGCTCAAGTGAAAAAAAAAAGAAAAAAAGACTCCATTTAGAAGACAGGAGCCTGGGATTCTGGAGTAGAAGCCGTGTATGACTGCCTCTCAGATGGTGCTCCATTTCAGGAATAGTGGTGAAAGGACATCTGTTGGCAAATTGCCCTTTTTTGGGTTATTGAAAGCAGCAAGTTGAAAAACAGAGCAGATGAGGATATGCGGGATCCCAACTGACCATAAGAAATCAGATTGCACTCTTTAAAAGAAAACTGATTACCAGACATATTAAACTTTAATCTTATTTGCAGTTAGTAGCCCCAAAGAGAATGCTTTGTTGGAGACCTTCCAAGAAAAGCTATTTCAGACAGCTTGTAAAGCAAAGACAATGCAGTAGAAATAATGCAAATACAGTTCAACTTTTGCTATAATGAAGTTAGTTTATGACAACCTTTGTAACGACCTCAACAATGAATGCCAATATTTTCATTGGTAGTTAGCTCTGCTGAGACAAACACTTCCCCAAATTTGATGTGAAGACACTATTTACATATTTTTTCCTTTTGAAAAAGCAGACTGTATCTGTCACATAAGTATGCATTTTACTTCTAAGGTTTCTAAGCACCATCTAAATACTGAATGAGTGCAAAATGACCTCCACTAAGGTACTGCCTGTTTGCATTCAGTTCAAATGGGATGCAGCCTCAGATGCAGCAAACTGCTAAACCCTGGCACTGTAACCTCCTTCAGCTAGGGAGTATTTTAATCCCAGTTCTGTGAGGATTCTTTGGCAAGGCTACTCCTGGCTGTTGTCCTCAGGACACTAAGTCATGCTGCTGATGTGTATTATAGTTACATGTGCCTTGCCTGTGGAATCTGGTCACTGATGCTTCCCTTTACCTTGTAGGTAGCCTGAACTTCAGCTCCTCATCTGGCAGCTTTGGCATTTGTCATGGTCAGTTCACCCCCCTGCAGCTGTAGGTGGGCTGCAGACAGGATGGAGACCTTGCAGGGAACTGTGCCCATTAGTGCCTGGCGTAGTGCAAATTACATGGGGCAGGGAGGGGCTCCTCTCCTCTGCTCTTTTCCTTACCTGGTGTTTTGTGGGGTTCTGGGCACATGAAAGGAGTGCCACAGCTTGGGCAAACATGTAACCAAAGTAAGAAAAAATACTTAAAGCTTTTTCTTGCTTCCCTCCAGGCAATTCTGCAATATGTATGTTAGAGGAATTTGAGAGTCTTATGAAATCAAAAGGCTAGCATTGACTATAATTACAAACCATCACAAAGGTTTTTAAAAAGTATTTATTCATTCTCATGACCTAAAGATATGCATATTGTAAAAGATCCCTCCAATAGTAATTTTACAAAGCTGACTCAGTAGTGCTCCACAATCCATAAACCTGAATCTCAGTATAATTCTCTAAATACAACTGCAATAAAGATAGCCCTTAAATTATAGACTACATTTTTGAATGTTCACTTCAAAATTACGTCTTTTTATTTACAGAGTTTAGTGAATTCATGTCATTTTTACACATTCTTAAAGTGTCTCTGGCTGTATCTAGACATCTCACATTGACTTTTTCTTTTCATGAAATTAATAGCATTTTTGCTAAGTGAGTTTCCTGGACTTGGCAGCAACGCAATAGAATAGTTAATTGAGGTGTCATAAAGGCATTCCACCATTCTACTTGGGATACATCCTATGGCACCATCAATCATAACAGAACAAGTGTTAATCTGCTTGCATACAATAGATCATAAAAAAAAATAGTGTGAATTTAACACTTTTTTTTGACAGGAAAGCCTGACACTTCTTGTATCATCTGCCTGTGTATAAGTGCACACATATTTAGTGCCCAGGCTATAAATGCTAAATGAAGGCAGCTCGACAGCTCCTGTGTGCATTGCCTCTCACAGGGAAGCTGCCTGTCAGTGCACGCACTCCCTGCTGGATGTATCAGCTGAGCAATGCAGCAAAGCTCAAACATTTAAGTTGTTTAAGCACACAAGGAATCCCATTCAGCTCACGGAAGGTGAACACATGTGAGAGCCCTCCACTGGGCAAAGAATGCCTCCTTGTCCTACTGTTTATTAACTGGCTACCTTGGTATTTTCACAGGAATGTTTACTCTGTCACCTGACTACACCTTCAGGCATTTTCCAAAATGTTTTTTTTTTTTAATATTCAAACTGTTTCAGTCAATATTCGTCAAATCCTCTTTTAGTCAAATTCTCAGTGCACCCTGGTCTTCTCAGCAATCCATCCTGCACTTTTGACTCTTGCCCAGCAAGGGGAGAAAAGGCAGCTGGACTTCAAATGCAACAACCGTGCTGCTGCCTGCAGTGTACTGTTTTAAGAGGCTGGGCCTGAAATAGCTTCAAAATATACATCAAAATATATGGAGAAACGGACTCCTGTATGCTACCTCACAAATTAAATGCTCATCCTCAACAGATCTGTGGGTACATGAGGATTCTGAACTCGCTGGTTTTGTCTGAAGAAAAAGCATCCCAAATGAATGGCTGGAAAACCTAAGTGCCTTTAAAAAGGTCTAAGTTACTTTGGAGGGCAGCAAGAGCAAGTACCACAACAAAAATTAACTCTTAGGGTTAAATAAAATGAAAACACCACAACTTCAAATGTGTTGCGGATAAAGGGCTAGAACCAGACAGTGACCTAACTTAAAGGTCTTTCAAGAGAGAAATAAATGGACGCACCAGCAATATCCCCCTAAAAATGATGAGGCATCAGTATGGCGTGTTCAGCATTCCCCTAACTTTATCTGCACACTTTTTTTCCCCCTTTCTCTGTTTAAGTTCTATTTTGAATATAGAGTTTCTGCCAAGAAACTTGTTAAAAATGTTTATAATGAGCACAGCATGATTTTTGGATTCTGTAAACAAATACCTCTTTAAAGTTATATATAATTTCAGAGACTTAAGATTCACTCGTCAAGGAAACCCAGTGTTTTCTTCACTAAAACTTTGTGAGTTAGACTTTCTAAAGGGAACATACAAACTTTGATCTATAAACTTTAAAAAGCTGAATTTAAGATTAGGGAGAAGATAAAACGCTTCACAGAATTTAGGTGGCAGAATATATCTTGTTCTGTGTGTGTGAAGTTGTTTCTAGTTGTATGGAATAACCTTAGAACAAACGTAGTCTTAGGCCACGTAGGTAACATTTTGATGCGTCCTTGCCCAGGGGCCACTGCTAAGAAGAGGCTTATTACAGCTTAATGATCCAATGCAACATTTGTTTCAGCTATTCGTCCCAACATCGCTGCTGGGGCACCACGTTGGCGGCACACAAACTATGCCAAAGCCGTGGCCCAGCAAAGAGCTGGGAGCAGCTGCTGACCCCAGCACAAGGCGTAGCAAAGACGAGCCGGTGCCACGCGGTTGCCGCTCATCCCCGCCGACCAGAGCTGCTTTAAAAGCACACGTTAAGCGCGGGTGCAGCAGGTGCCCGGGCAGCAGGATGACACAGGGAAACACCACACCTGCTTCCCGGTACAAAGCCTGCACGCCGCGGAGAGCCGCCACCCGGCTGGCAGCCACGCACCCGCAGCCCGCAGGGCCGCGCTCGAAGCGCCGCTCGGCCCCCTCGGCCGGGAGCCCCGGGTCGGCGCGTGTTGCACTGGAGCCCGCCAGAGCCGGCAGCCGCCCTCGCCCGGGGCAGGCTGGCACCGGGGCACCGGAGCCCGCCGGCCTTGCTGCACCGGGCTGGGCGGCGGTTCCCGCCCGCGCCGGGCCCCCGCACGCCCGCGACAGCGACCCCCGCCCCGACTAGCGACATCCCCGCCGCGGCGACCCCCGCACATCCGGGGCAGCGGCGGGGCGGAGCGGGGCCGCGCGGGGCGGTCGCCGCCCCTTCCCTGATCCCGCCTCTCCGCGCCGCCGCCGCCGCTGCCGCCGGCGATGGAGACGCGGCGCTGAGCGGGGCTCGGGCGGCAGCGGTGGTGCGCGGGAGAGCGGGCGGGGGCGCCGCCGCCGGCGGCAGCAGCGGGAGCGGCGGGGCGCGGGGCATGCGGAGCGGGCGCCGCCGGGGAGCTGCAGCTGCGGGCTCCGAGGCGCCCAGGGAGGCGGCGGCTCCTCCGCGGGGCTCCGTGTGACCGCGCTGCTGCGCCCGGAGCGCGGCTCCCGACAGCCGCAGGAAGAGGGGGGCCGAGGCGGCGGCGGTGCAGCGCCGCTTCCCCGGCCGCGGAGCGAGGCGGCGAGCGGAGGCGCCCGCTCCCCGGGGCCGTAGCGGCGGCCGCCGGTAGCCCGGCGGTGCAGCGGCAGCGGCGGCCGCGCCTCAACTTGGTGCGAGGCAGCGGCCGCCGCCACGAGCGGCGTGTGCGCCCGTCCCCGCCGCCGCCCGGAGGATTTACCCTGCGGGACTCTTTTGCTCGGGGGCCCGGTGACCGGGGCGGCAGCGGCGGGGCTGGTGGCGCCCCTCGCCTCGCCCCGACGTCCGCCCCGCAGCGACGGAGAGGAGGGCCGAGGTGAGTGTGGGCTCCGGGCGCCTCGGGTTCCGCTTCCCCCCGCCCCACTCCCGGCCGCGCTGGGACTCGGGGGAAGGGAAGCTCCAAGTTCAGGCAGCGCCGGGCTTCTTCCCTCTCCGACCGCCTGCGGGAGAGCCGCCGCCTCGGCCGGCCGCCGCTTCCTCCGAGCGGGGTGACCCCGCCGCGGTGCCCGCTCGGAGGCAGCCAGCGCCGGGGACGGGCACACGCAGCCTGCGGCTGCCTTCCGGCGGCTCGGCTCGGTGCTTTGCCGCGGAGAGGGTCGTGGGGCTGGGGACGTCCTGTTGCTGCTGCCAGGGGTCGGAGCTGCCGTGTGTCAGCAGCCTCCGGCAGCGTGGCTGTTTGTGCGTGCGTGTGTGTGTGTGTGTGCAGGGGGAGTACCAGGGCACCATCGTCGGCTCTACCTCTTCACCGCTGTCACATCAAGTTCGTTCAGTTGATGGTTATTATGTAACATGTGACCAATATTTTAGAGTTTCTCTTATCTGCTGGGCTCCGGATCAGCCTTATTTTGTTGCATTTTAATTCATAAAGCTGAAGAGGCTCGCCAAAGCTCTCATTCTAACTGGTTGCCTAATGGAACTTGCTTTTCATGTGACTTTGGCCATGTTAACAGAGGGTTACTACCTCCTTCCACTCTAGGAAAGCAGAAGTGGGTGTCTTCTGCCCCCTCTACCTCCGCCCCCCTCTTATACTATTAAGCATGGGCAAGTTTCTTTAGGTCCCGCTTGTTTTTAGTAGATTCTGGAACCTGCCACTTCGTGAACTTAGAGCCTGAGATACTGAAATAGAAACTGATTTTTGTGCAGCAGCTGCTGAGAGAAATAACTTTTATGGCGATGAACAGGAGTAAAGCAGCCTAACAGCCTCCTCGGTTTATATAAATGATGTTGGCACTATATGAACTGTAAATGAACATAGCCAACAGCTGTGCAAACCAAAACTATGTAACTAACCATGTATTATTATAGCTTGCTGCTCTCAACTTCATTCCTTTGCAAAAACATTGAACATCATGCTACCCTGAGCACTTGGAGCACCACAGAACTAGTTTTTCTTGTAAATACAAAGAATTTCTTATCTTGAAGATAGCACTTGACTTTCTAGTGCCAGCTTCATAATTTTCTGTGACTTGGAATTGTGTCTGTGTCCTCCTGTGATGCTGGCCTTTTTTAAAGTGGTATTACTAGCACTTTGAATTTGTTTGCTGCATTTTCTCAGGCTTACTTGTGAAACAAGAATGTAAACCCGAGATAGTTATTGTCAGTAGGGAAATTGTGGCAGCATGGTCATCCTCAGAAAAATGATACAAATATTACCTGGCAAGAACACCACACATGAGTCACCCCTGAGATCAAGGTGGCAAGGACAACACATGGACTATTACTGGATGATGTCTGTCTGCTCAGAATTGTAAGCTACATGAATGAGTATACCTTATTCCTCATGTACCTTGTTCTTATAGGAATAGGGCAATTCAAAGACACTAATGTAAGTCATGAAAATGCTTTGAAAACACCATGTGACAGTCATTTCTTAGCCTAGTGGTGAGGTGGTACTGTTTCACTTTTATACGAAGATTTATTCCTCCCCACTCTTCATCTTAAAGTGAATTTGTTTGAATGAGTTCAGGAATAAGCTGTACAGAAAAAGAATGGAGGTAATTTAGAATAAATTTCAATACTGTATTGCTGCTTTAGGAAAATAGTATTCTGCTGTCCTTTCATTGTTGCATATGTGTTGATAAGCCATATGTTAGCTGTGAACTTTTAAAATATTTTTTCTTTATTCTTTCACAAAAGGAGTGTAATCTTTGTCTTTGGTCAGAGGACAAAAAGTAGCTTCAGAGACACGCATCTAAAAATAAAGTACTTCCAAATATTTAAGTCCTTTGAATGCAATTTGCATCACGTTTTGTTCAAGAGACAAGAGATTCTTGACAGATTTTATATTTCTAGTAGGTTTTGGGTTTTTTTTTTTTCATTTTAGGGCATATGGTGTCAGACTGTCCACATAGCACAAAAGTTTGATTCACAAGACCAAAATGGTATGGTCTTTGGCTCTGCAGTCTTCCCCAGCCTGTCTCTTTAGATGTCTTCTCATGGAAGTGCAGGGGCCATCTCTAGACTTAAGCTGAGCTGTATCAGGAGCTGTCACTGCTTATAAAGAAAATAAATCACTCACAAATTCAAATAAATTGATTTTTTTTGTGTGTAAGGTACATTAAAATACCTTTTAATAATTGTAGTAGTGCTATTTAAAATGGTGCTGTTTCATACCTAACCAATCACCTCATTAAGAATTTTGGAGTTCTTTTATCTGTCTTAAATTATAACCAAAATCTGGAAGCATGTTTTGCTCTCCTTCAGGCCAAGTTATAGTGCATCATTTGCTTTCCTGTGTTGCTCTTTGATTTTTAAAGTTTGTTTAGGAGGAGGTGGTTTTGATGCCCCCCACCCTCTTTGAAGGGTCAACATGCTGATTTTAGTATTGAAATTGTGACACTGGAGTTTATCTGGGGTTCATCTGGTTGAATAACTCATGACAGATACAAGAAGTGTTAAAGAAGGTAAATGTTTAATATTTCTCTTGTAGTATGTGTCTTGTACATACTTAATAGAGGTAGGCTTGGATCATTACGTGGGATGTTCTTCATCCTAGTAAATTTTTTCTGTCCTTTGAATAGTGACAGATTCTTTATTATAAAGATGCACTAGACAGAAGTGAATATTCAATTGTGCATTGTATAAAAAATTAGTATCTCTGGACTGTGTACTTCCTGCTTTCACTGAGCAGCATCTTAATTTTTGAGGTGTAAATTATTTCCCTTCTGTTTACATTTAGTCTTCTTATAACTATGTTTTTTCATTCTTTGTCTTCTTAACCTTTCTGTTGGATTTCTAATTCTTTACCTAGTCTAATGCTGCAGCAGCCTCTTTCAGGTCATCATTAAGAATGAAGCAATAGTTTTATATGAAGGCAGTTGAGCTAGTGCTTGCCACTGCTGCTTTTGAATCTTGATACTTTTAATTATCAGCAGTGATGTTCTCATATTGAGCAGAGATCTTCCCTGAGTTCCACAGGGATGCTTGTAATCCTCTTGTTTGTACTAGGCCTTCTTAATTTAGAAGGTTGCTGACCATACTAGTAATTATTTAACTTTCAGTGACACTTCTTCTGCATTTATTAACATTGACTTTTATCTGCCAGTGCATTACCTGTACATCATGGTTGATTAGCTTCCAGCTGGTTACATTTTTGGACTTATGTACTTGACCAACCTATATAGCTGTTAACTTTTCTGCTTTCTTTTTCAGCTCATTAATTAGTGCCTTTAAATCTTGCTAGCTTTATGGATCCTTGAGGCATCCTGCTGTTAACTTTTGTTGTGTTGCAAGTTTGATTACATATTCCTAGTTCAAACTTCCTGTTTCTTAGCTAGGAATAAAATACTTGAAAGAGAATATGACAGAAATATTGAAAATATATCTGCAATGTTGAAATCATGGCTTTTACTCAACTGTTAGCACCAGGTCTATTCCTGACAGAAGTACTCTAAATTTAGCATCCCCAAATAAAATGTTTTAACTGCCTACTTGTCATAAAAGCACTTTGACACCATCTTCCGCTAATTCTGGCAAAGCATTTTTTCCCCTTTACAGTCTTTCTAGAGAGCTTAATCCATTATGTGAAATCAGCCCATTGTAAAAATCAATGGAATTGATATACTTTTAGCTAATGTATTAAAGAGCTGGCTAACTGCTCTATTATTCACTTTTTGATTACTTAAATACAGTTTTGCAGTATGAAATATGAAGATTCTTTAGGTGCATTTACTTTTGGCTAAATTGGAAGCTTGTGACTTTGAGCACTGCATAAATTATCTCATACATGGGCTGTTGTAGGAATTCCCAACTCATGGAGGCATTCTTACCATTGGGTTTACATTAAGGTCTTTTTATAACCCACAAAAGAGAATTAGCTTGAATTCTAAAGCCCTTCACTATGCATCTTACTGAATGCAGGTTTGTAGTCCCTTACAGGAGAAGCTATTTTGATTCCTCCTGTCTTTGACCAATGGAACTGAACAGTCAGCATGGAAAAGGTGTGTTTAGCACATAACCTCAGTTGTCACTGAAAGCAAATGTGCTTGGAGACTTGATTAGTTAAGAAAAGGTACCCTTTGCAAGTTAGTCTTCCTAAGCTGACTTATGATACCATTTGCCAACCTTGTTTTTGTGATGCAGAGCTTTATTTCAATTATTAAAAAACTCTACCACAACATGTTTTTGTTTTGATTTTTTTTTCATTCTCTCTTTAAACGATAAACTGTGGTATGGAAATTGACTATGGAGATACTTCAAAACAGGTTTGTTTTTTTTTTTTCTCTTTCATAAAGTATTTAATTTTGGCATTAGAGTGGTCAGTTTCATTTCTTTGGAATTAAAAAGTTATCCTTGAGAGTAGGAGCTTTGTAATGGTGCCTTTTCTCATTGGAATCAGTGTTCAGTGACCACAGCAACTCTCATTGATTGCTTCAGCTCTATTGTCAGACTACCATAAGAGAAATATACAGGTAGGAATTTGAGCACTGCTTGTGTTGTGTTGCTGTTCTGTGTAATCTGATGGTCCTCAAGACATTTGTGTTTGTTCTCCTGTGAGGAGGTACCACTAGAGAAAAACAGTGTAAAGCTGCAGCAGCTTGCTGCTGTGAACATTCAGACTCTGGGACTGGCTCATGTAAAGCTGCTGTGAAATTCACTCTTAGTTAAGGAGGGAAGTGTTTTCATACTTTTTTTTTTCTTGTGCTATGCTGGTATCAACTTTTAGAAACTTTACTCTTTTAGAAGACTTATCCAACAGATAATCCAGTTCAGTGTTTTGCTGTCTAGCTGAAAGAACTTTAGCATCCTTTGGAGGCAGAATGTATGAACTGCTCTTTTGTTCCTTAATTCTCATCTTGCTTCATAAGACTTTGTCCT